TTGCGCTCCTCCCACATGATAAACACATTAAGATGTCGCTCTCAAAGACTATACATGTCGATGTTTCCGCTGTATCTACCAACATTTTTCGCCGGCGGCATTATGGCACAAGAATGACAAGAACCGCGTCCTCCCTCTCTAAATCGACTCTACTATCTTACGGCGTCCTCCCTCATCTGAACACATCGTCGTAGTACCCTATCATGCAGTCTAGTGAACCACCCAACCGAACGTTCACTGTACGACCAGAGCACACCGAGCATTCGATTGTCTGCTAGTTTCGCCTTCGGTTACGACCTGTTCTACCTGTTCTGCTGGGGGCGATCTCAACATGTCGTCACGTTCAGTTCCGCCAACAAATACTATGCCCACCTACTGGCATTGGCTTGTGTTGGCGCGCAGCCAACGCTTTTAACCGGGAGACCGCCAACGCCCAGCGCACTCAGCAGTAATTCCCTTGTGTCCCACCACCCGACGATTTGGTTTCCATATTGCTTTTTAGCAACGCGTTTCGTCGGGCGCACAGCAGTGCGCGCTGCTGCTTGCCCGTTTCGTTGTTCACTTTTCCGCGGTAGTATCGCGCGGCCCCCACCCCAGGTTTCCACGCAACGCTTTCGGAGACGCGCACCCCCACCACCGGTCCTGCGCCGTCGCTTTACACGTCCGTGTCCCTCGGGCCATCAGCTGCGGCAACCGGGTGGCGGCAACGCTCCGTGCCAGTTCAAGCAGTTGCGCCTGCGCGCGCTCTAACAGACGCACCGTGTTCCTCTTGGCAACCAGTGTGGCAACACGTGCGCCGCGTTACACTATTCTCCTGCGCGTGCCCGCACCAGTGCGCAACAGTGGGCGGCAACGCGCTCCGTCCAACATGTCCGCGCTAGCATATTTCGCCCCGTGTCCTCTGCAACTAGGGGCGTGCATACCCAGCTGTGGCCCGCGCAGACCGGCCGTGCAACAACGACGTGTGCGCAGCGCTACCGCACGTGCCTCGGCAACCAGTGCGGCACAGTGGGTGGCGGCAACGCTCTGTGGCCAACAACCGTGTCGCGCGCTACCACGCCACGTGGTCCTGCTCCCCGGCCACAGTGTGGCGGCCAACGGCCCTTCCGTGCAACAACAGTGGGCCGCGCTAGCCGTCCCACGTGTCCTGCGGCAACGCCGTGGCGGCCTCCTCTACGGCTCCTCTCGAGCGCACAGTGTGCAGCGCGCTACCACGTACCGTGTCCTCTGGCACCAGTGGGCAACCAGTTGTCGGCGGCAACGGTCCGTCGCCGACGTGTGCGCCGCGCTACACGCACGTGTCCTCGGGCAACAGTGTGGCGACAACGGCTCCCGGCAGGCACCGCCCGGTGCGCCGGCGCACTGATTCATTATCGCACGTGTCCTCGGCAACAGTGCGGCAACAGTGTGGCGGCAACGGCTCCGTGCAGCAACAGTGTGCGCCGCGCTACACGCACGTGTCCTCGGCAACAGTGCGGCAACAGTGTGCGCCACGGCTCCGTGCCCACATGCGCCTCGCGCTCACGCACCTGTCCTCGCAACAGTGCTGGCAACAGTGTGGCGCACGGCTCCGTGCCGGCAACAGTGTGCGCCGCGCTACACGCACGTTCCTTCGGTCAATTCGCGTGCGTGCGCACAGCTGTGGCGCACGGCTCCGTCAACAACAGTGTGCGCCGCCGCTCTTCCCCGCGTCCTCTGTCCCCTCGGCGACCGTCGTTGCTGTCAAAGTACATGCAGATGGAGGTGGGCTTGCAGCGGCGATCGTCATCGTGCAGCAGTGCCGCGTTCTCGCTCGCGTGCAGCGACTCGAGCGAGTCGCAGCGGGCCGCCGGCGCGATGTACGCGTCGGCACGGGGCGCCACCATGGGGCTCCCCGGCGGCGACACGCCCGAGCGGTCGCGCTTCATCATGGCGCCGGCGCGGCGCGGGGCGGCCGCCTGGGGTCGCCGGCGCGCCTCCAGCTCATAGTCGGCGTCGGTGCCCGTCTCGGCGAGCGTCTCCTCCTCGGTCTCCTCCTGCTGTAAGCCCGACTCGCCGCCGCCGATCAGCTTCTTCGGGCGGCGGAACGTCTTGCGGCTCTGCGCGGCTTGCCGCTGCAGCCGGTGCCGCGCGTGCCGCACCGTGTCGGCGCGTCCCACCGGCCACGACTTCTGCGACTCGCTCGTCTGGTCGTCGACGATCTCGACGTAGCCGCGGCTGCTGCGTCGCGAGCGCAGCGACGCCTCGCGGCTCACCGCGTCCTCGCTGTCGAGGTCGGACGCGCTCTTCGAGCTCGCGACGCTCGACTGCTTGTGCAGGAGGCGCCGGTGGTGCATGCTCGCCTTGCGCGTCAGCCGGCCGCCGCCCGACGACGTCGTCGACGACACGTCCGAGCGCACGGCGAGACGCTCCTTCGCCTCGCCGCCGATGCCGATGCCGCCGACGAGGCTCGCGAGGCGCTGCCGGCCGTAGCTCGTCTCGCTCTGCTGCTCGGCCGGCACGAGCGTCGGCGTGCGCGAGCGGAAGTCAGCGCCGCCGCTGCGCGTCGACAGCTCGTCGCGCAGCGCGTACAGCTCTCGCGACAGCTCCTGCAGCAGCGTGCCGCGGCAGCGCGTCGGCACCCGGTAGCCTCGCAGCTTCTCGGCGATCGCCCGCCGCGCTTCCCCGTCGCCGTCGGCGACCGTCGCGGGAGCGCGCAGCATCCGGTGCTCGATGAATGGCTTCAGCATGACGAACAGCGTGCTGCGGTTGCTGACGACGAAGTCGATGAAGCTCCACACGTGCGCGTCGCCGCCGTGGCGCGCGCCGAGCTCGCGGACGATGCGCGCCACGCGGTGCCACTCCGACGCCAGCTCGCGCTCGAAGCAGGTGATGATCACCTTCAGGCAGAGGAACGCAATCTGGTAGAGCGTGTGGCGGACGATGCGCGGTATGCGGTCGTGCGCGTCGCCGCCGCCCCCGATGTCGCTAATCGACGGCCGGTGCGAACGATTCGACGCGCCGCCGCCGTGCGACGAGGACCTCGGCGGCAGGATCGCGTCGAGCGTGAAGCTCAGCGAGAAGATGACGTCGGCGTGGCGTATGCGCGGCGACTCGGAGCCGCCGCTGCCCGAGCGCAGGCACACAGGGATGATGAGGTTGAGCAGGATGTTCTCGGTCTTGTCGAGGCTGGACAGAGTCGCCATGCCGCCGCACAGCTGCTCGAGCGTGTACTGCTCGCCCGTCACGTGGATCTGCATGCAGACGAGCTGCACGACGGCGCGGTTGAAGCCCTGCGGCGGCGCGTGCTGCAGGCACGACTGCAGCGAGCCGTGGTGGATGCTGTGCATGCTGCCGCCGACGCCCGGGCCCGTGCTGTCGGCGAGCGTGATGCTCAGGCACATGTTCAGCAGGAACTTGATGTGCGGCAGGTAGGCGACGTACGGGTACTTCTGCAGCGACAGGTAGACGCCCTGCAGCAGGCTCGCCGCCGCGTCCCAGTCGCAGTTCTTGCGCAGCGGCGCGCGCTTGTAGATCTTCGTGAACGTCTTGTCGAGCCGCCGGAAGATCATGTTCAGGCACGGCCGGATCGCCTCGACCGACCAGTCGGTGAACGGCAGCATCTGGCGGATGTACTTCTGCAGGCCCTGGCAGGCCATCGTCAGCGGGTCGTACGGCGACAACTTCAGCAGCGTGTGCGCGATCTCCGACAGGCGCGTGTGCGAGCGCACGTCGAGCAGGTCCGGCACGCGCGCCGACGGGTCGGCGAGCAGCTTGGGCAGCTCCTTGACGCGGCGGCCCGCGACGCACGCAAAGTCGGCGACGATGCACAAGATGGCGTCGCGCGGGGAGCGAAACTCGGCGATCGGCTCGAGGTCCTCGAGCGCTTCGTCGTAGCGGCGGCGCGCTCGGTCGTCGACGAAGCGGATGTGCATCTCCTCGCAGCGGTCGTCGTCGCCGCCGCCGCCGAGCTCGACGCTCTGCGGCGAGTGGTTGCTGTAGCCGCGGCCGCCGACCTTGACGCTGTTCAGGTTCGGCTTCTCGTAGTGCCGCTGCGGGCCCGTGTAGTTGCGCGTGAACATCTCGCAGGCGGCGATCATCGCGCGGATCGACGCCGCGACGGCCGTGATCACGCCGAGCTCGTGGCGCGCGCTCGCCGCGACACCGCCCTTGGTCGCGCGCGCCGTCCGCGCGCGCAGGTGCTCGAGGTAGTACGGCACGATCGCCTTCATCACGGTGAGCATCTCGAGCGCGCGACTCGACTCGGGCGCGAAGGCGACGACGGTGACGCACAGCGAGATCGCCTCGACGACGCTGTAGTCTTCGTCGTCGTTCTCGTAGCAGAGGTCCTGCACGGTGAGCGGCTTCTCGCCGCCGACGAGCGCCATGATGTCGAGCGGGTCGACGAGCGGCTCCTCCATCGCGAGCAGCAGCGAGAAGAAGCACGCCGCGGGAACCTTGTTCGTGTCGCCGAGCTTGCTCGCCGTGTCCATGTCGAGGATGCTCGCGACGCTGCCGAACATCTGGAGGAGGAACGGCTTGCGGTGCAGCGTGTAGAACTGCCGGCACGTCCACTCGATCGCGTGGCAGAGCAGCGTGTTCGTCTGGTGGCCGCCGTAGATGCGCAGCAGCGTCGGCATGACGAGCAGGTAGCCGTTCGCGGCGAACACGGTGCGGAAGCCGCGCACGGCGTTGATCAGCGTCGCGATGCACAGCCGCAGCTGCGACGAGTCCTCGCAGTGCAGCAGCAGGTCGCCGTTGATGACGTTGACGGCGAGCTGCAGCTCGCTCGCCGCCGTCAGCTGCCCGCGGACGCCGTCGAACACGCTCGCGATCAGCTGCACCCAGACGTGCTTGTGCAGCATGTCGAGCGCGTACATCTCGCGGCCCTGCTCGCCGTGGTGCAGCCCGAAGGCGGTGTCGAGCGCCTTGCGCGGGAACGACGGCAACTTGACGAGCTCGTCGTACAGCAGCGTGACGCGGTTCTGCAGCTGTCCCGGCGGGCAGCTCTTGATGATCGCGTTCGTGAGGTGCACCTTGCCGATCTCGACGAACTTCAGCACGAGCTCCTGCCGCTGCAGGTTGACGAACGCCTCGTGCGCGTTCATGTGCAGCAGCGCCAGCTCCGGGTAGAACGAGCGGCGGAAGAAGTAGAAGTCGCGCACGTACGCCGTCGGGTTGTGCAGCTGGTGTGTCTTCGCGTCGACGAGCACGTAGTCGCCAGCGTGCTCGTCGTCGACGTTGAAGAAGTCGATGCTGTCCTGCAGGATCTGCCCGAACTGCGTGTCCTCGTGGATCGGGAACTGCGAGGGGATGCTCGTCAGGTCGGGCCCGTGCACGATGATCTTCTTCGCGCTCGGCACGCTCGCCGTGAGCATGATCATCGCGTCGCACTGTTCGCGCTTCAGCGTCTGCTTCAGCTCCTTGAAGAAGACGTCCTGCACGTCGGGCACGATCTGCCAGAGCAGTGACAGGCTGATCGCGATCGCCTCTTGGCTGCCCTCGACGGGCGCGCGCACGTGGAACATGATGAAGCCGAGCATGTAGTTGAAGAGCGTGTGCGCGGCGTGGCCGGGCAGCTCCTGCACGTGCGTCATCAGCTTGTGCAGCAGCATGATGAGCTCGGGCAGACGCTCGCGGTTCGTCATCTTCTCGAGGAAGTGCCGGAAGAAGAGCGCCGGGTCCTCGACGAGGCAGCTCCAGATGACCTTGAACGCGACCTCGGAGACGGCGACGCCGTCGTCGTTCACCTCGCGGTCCTCGAGGAGGTTGATGATGGGGAGGATCGCCGCGCACAGGCATGACGGGAACAGCGACGGGGCCAACTGCACGTGGTGCACCTGCAAGCAGCGTATATATGCGCATGTAGCTACATACATAGATATGTAAAGATATATACGCACGCACGCATGCACACACGCTCACATACATACATATAGCGTGTAGCTACCTACATACATACACACCAAGAGTACATAATAGGAGAAGAGTATGACACCGTTTTAACAACGTTTTGCATAGTTTTCAACTTGCAACTATTCAATCAATATGTGAATAAATATATTCAAACTTTATCTTGTTGTCGTCTATGATTCTCCCTTAATCATATGACACCACCAATTTACCTGGAAATCGTATGTGTTCTTCCAAAAAGTTCTTTGAATACGACACGGTTTCGCACAGTTTTCCCAACAATTCGTATCTGAGCGGCGAATGTT